TTCTACAGACTGATATCAGTCTTTGCTGTAAAAAACGTTTTCAGCAAGAGACTTTATCAATAACAGAAAGAAAAACTGCTCCATTTTGACTCTTTGAATTTAAATGACTAAGATGCAATATTTCCTCAATTTGACTGCGCTCTTAATGTTAGCACAGTACTTTAAGAATAGAGCGATTTGTTACATGCAGATGAAAACCATAAAACATGCATTTTTTTCAATTATGTTGACAGCAGCCTCTAGTTGGAGCCCTGTGTTTGTGGTTTCATAACGTCGATTCATTTTCAGTTCCATTCAGTTTATTTATACAGCACCAATTCACAACAGATGTCATCTCAAGGCACTTTGCAGAGAAAATGCAGTCAGATTGGTTAAAAGTTTCTGTCCAGGAAACCAGTTGATTGCATCCAGTTATTGACTTGCAAGACATGCTCCTCCTTTGAGAGCTTGCGGCAACAATATTCACTTGATGACTGATGTAAACGAGGTACTGAGGTAAATGTACCCATCAAGTCTGAACAAATGTCATTTGCGCATCTTTGGGGATAACCCTTAAGGGATATTTAAAGCACATGTAGAAAAGAGTGGAATTATTCTATTGTTTTTTATTATTTATTCTCAGATTAAAAAAAAGGCAACACTTGAGTTTGTCCGAGTTTGTATTAACTACATGCAGTCTGTCTAAATACGTGCATTGTGATGCAATGTTGAAATGAAATTAAATGTTTATGCTTTACTGATATCATAAGGTGGGCATCAGGTTTCTATATATTAGTTGGCTGCATCTTTTTAGTGCGCCTTGGAAAATCCCATTAAAACCTGGAATCCCTTTCTCACAGAAAATCCTTCCAAAACTCTGGAGTACACAGAGTTCATGACATTCAAAGAAATCATAGAATAAAAGAGAAGAAAAATGACCATCAAAGACCTGTAATTTATATTTTTATAACAAAATATTGTAAATGGACCTGCCTCCTCTAACGAGTTCTTAGATATCAAAGTTGCAGAACTTTCTTGCAATAATATGATGCACATGCATTTGTGATTAGGTATAGCATCCCAGTCATCTTATTGTTCAACCAGCGGTGCACAATAATTTTGAAATATTTTTTCTGAAAAGCATATGGCCTCATACCTTCCAGTTTTATTTAAATAAAATGCAGACACCCAATGCTATGTCAGAGCTACAGTACTGTACAGCTAATACTCTGCCTAAATAGTATTAATCTGCTTTAAAATCCCAATAAATATACTCCATGATGCACGTTTCTGATCTAGTATATGCAACAATAAATTATTTTGTTTTTTCTTGGTAAGGCTGTTTACATATTTTCATTTCTTTGTTTGAAGAGTTATAAAACTCTACCTTCGCGTCGCGATGGAGTTACAAAGGTACGTGCAAAGTAACTTTGGTGTAATGAGATCATTTGCAATGACAGTGTTTTTAGGTCTGTTATCCTGTAGCACTACTTCGCTGTTCCCCAGCTAAAGAGCAGAGCTGAGTGGACCTGCAGGACTCGGGCCAACTCTCTCCCTTTAAAAGTAAATAAATAAACAACTGACAGTTATTTTACATTATGACCCTTCATCTTAATTTGTTCCTAATGGTACATTTTTAATTACTGCAATGTAGAAGTAAAAAGAATAAAAGCAAACAATTAAAGTCCTAATAATCCATCAGGAGGATGGATGATAAAAATCTATCAAAGAGGTCCTAAGTGAATCAGTATTCTCAGTTATAATGAGCCATCTCCATTAATTTAACCAGAGCATCCATTTTTACACACAGAGTTGATCATTCTTACAAATTAGTATTGCCTTCATAATCATTTGTGCATGGTTTAAACCTGTCATGCCTGTTGATTTATCCATATTTCATATTTGATGATAAGTGAAACATAATTAATGTGTTTTGAATTGGTTGAAATGAATAGCTGCAATAAACAAAAATTCAATACCACTCTGCATTGAATGGCTCCAATCGTCTGTGCAGCGAGCACACCCAATGCATGCTGTCCAGATTGTTTCTATCCAGTATGCCGGTAAATATCACTCTTTATCTCATAACTCACAATCAAACCCCCAGACAGCAAAGGCCAAGTTGTTACTTGACATGTCATCGCCTCTCCTATTTGACAAATGTGTGGGGATAGTCTCAGCAGTAATGGAGAAGGGCAAGAGGTTGAGATGGACTCCATAACCAGTTCATTGTGGTAAATGATAGACAGTGAGCCCACTGTGGACTTTTATGACTCTGTGTGTTAGAGGGTGAAGAGGTAACCATTCTATTGGGAGGGCTTGGCTGGTTTCTTGCTGTTTTGTCACAGCAAAGCCAAATTGACTTCCCAGGTTTAACAATTGTTCATCCTGAAAAATCAAAAATTGGCATTTGCATGGTAAGTTACATTAATAATAAAAAGGCCGTTTCTTCTCTTCTTAGCAGTTGATAGACATACCAACCAAGTCCGCTTGCAGGCTTTTGAAAAGCAGACTTCCCTTTGAGAGGAGGTGGAGGGCGAGGAACAGGCAGAGGAGGAAGAGGAGGGTCCGTATATCGTAAGCAAGGATAAGCACAGATTTATCTGATGTCTTCTTAAGATAAAAGAAGTAACATCATCAAAACTGCGTTTATCCACGCCTTTATAGACCAGCCCTCCTCTCCACTGAGACGGACAGAGCCAGAGAGCACACGCACGGCAGAGGTTAGCACATTTACTCCAGCATCAGGACATCACAGAGAAAGTGAAGCAGTTTAAATAAATGTACATTTCAAAGGGCACAGATTAGAACAGAGGAGTGAAATGAGACCAGTCAGGTTCTAAGGCACAGCACAATAAAGAGGCTAACACAATGTGGACCAGCTGCAACAAACATCAAGAGGTACAGACATCTCTATACTTACAGTACTCAGTAAAGTTTTGGCTTATTATATTTCCCCTAACTTTAATCTGTGCTCGCTGAGTGTTCCGTTTATTGAATAAACAGAAAACAGAGCTGCAGAGGCCACGTCTGTACAGCGTTGACGGCAGGCCCACATGATTGCACAAGTGTTAGGTGCAAACCTAAGAAAAAGGGTGTCACGGTACAATGTTAGTAATTCACACCTATTACAGTGTATTGCACATAATCGAATTTACAAATCGCTTTAGCATGAGAGATAAGGAAGGAGGATTTCTTTGAGAGCACCAAAGCTACTGTCTACAAACACATTTACTCTGTTTCATCTGTTTTTATTGTACCAAAGAAAAGCAAAGAAAATGATTTTGCTTTTAAGTTAATAAAAATTTATGTTAGGAAATGTAGAATTTTACTTCAGGGACAAACTTAAAATTCTCACTAATGAAAGAAATGTGGAATTTTATTTGTATACGAGGAGGTTAGCTTAAAAAAAGATAAAAAAGCACAAACCCTGGAGAAAGTTTTAACACCATTTTTGTTAATTCATAAAGATGTGTTGAATTAAGTAACTAAGGTGTTCAAGTTCAACCAGATCCGGTTCTAGCACTGTAACTGGTTGTGACTGTTTTTCATTTTACATGTCATCTGAAACCACATCCATCGAAAAGGAAACCATGAATTAAATTTGCATGAAACAGTTTGCACGAGTTTTCTGACTCAAGGCTAAAGGCAGGTGGGAAGAAAAATGACTGCCAAATGTTTGGTGACTTGCTTCACATTTGACCAAATCTTTAATTCTATAGACAGAGGATCCCTCAACTGTTGATAGATAGATTTGCTTACTGTAAAATGTTCCTTTAAAAGAAAACATATGTACATACAAGTAATCACATTTTCTTAAATTAAGTGCATTTTTTATTTTAGCAGGTATGTGAGACACTCTGCCAAAGAATAAGGAGGTCTCATATTTCAAGCGCATAATATCTAATTATTCAATTTTTAGGGGTAAAAATAACCAATTCATTGGTAGATCATTTTATTTACCTACTTAAATTGAGGGTTAATACACTTACAGTACTAGCCATTTAAAATGTCCCCACTTTCCTTGATTGGCCCTTGGCTGGTCCCCTACAATTCCTTTTTAAACATCAATCTTTGCACTAAATATTCTTTCTGTCATCATTTTTGGACATTAAGATCTAAAGAGAAGCATCATCTCCTGGTCAGACTCTATAATTCAGCGAAAGGGTGGAGTCAGAGTGAAAAAATACACGCCCAGGAGAAAGCCAGTGGATGGAAGATAGAGCGGATTTTGCTGGGAGCTGCAGGGAAGTGGGCTGCCATTCGGCTGGCGTTTGACTGGGAAAGGCCATTTTGAATGGCTGCTACTGTGTTTTAATTATTTTATTTACTTATTCCTAGATTCTAGGTAAGCAGGTTTAAATATCAATTTTTGAGATCTTCATGCAATAAAATTATTTTTATCAAACAATTTTTTTGCACTTAGGCTGAATTATTTAAAATAAATCTATATATATGTTTTAAAACAGATGACCTGCAACTTTTAAATCTGTTTTTTCACTATTATTATTTTGAATTTTAGAAAGATTTATTTGCAAATAGGTGTTTTGAGTTTTGTGACAGAATAGTCAAACAGGTAAATAAAAAACAACAACATAAAAATAGAGCAGGGCAGTTTGTAGACAGTAAAATTAATAATACAGATTAGCTTGTGGGTAAGGTTTTTTTATTTTTATTTTTTATCTTTCAAATCCAACCTGAATGGTTAAATCAATTATTACCTTGTACCGTTACGCCCCTGAATCCAGCACATACAAACCAGACTGTACACATCAATTTATCACAAAGACAGGAGAGAATACACAGTCAAAGGGAGAAAACACAGGTAAGATAAATAGATAAAAGCCACAGGAAGGCACGGCACTACAATTAACACCTGAGGTATGAGCTGCCTCTAAACACTGTTTTTGCCACAGATGCTGCTGCTTTTGAACATTAACCAGCTCATACAACAGAATCCAAAACAAGAGAAAGTGGTTTGAAGCAACTTTGACCCTTAAACAGAAAATAGCCATCCCTACCATGGTGACTCTGGGAGCGGACCGGCCAATGTTTTTCCCCTAGAAAACAGAACCCAGTGGTTATTGATTAGACTCTGCTACTTGAATTGCACTGCAACAAAATGTAATCACACTCAGTTACTAGGAGAAACTGTGTTGGCATTGCACAGTAGAAACACGATTTTATTCAAAACATCACTCTTGTTGACATGGTCGATAATAAAACATCACTACAGCCTAATATCATTATAATTAACCCTTGAAAATCTTTAAACAATTCTCAGTGGCTGCAGCGACAGATTTCTGGACGTGCTGAGTGCTGGAGGCGGCCAAAGATGAACAAAATTTTAGTGGTTCGATATTGATTCTGTGGCATTTTATCTTCCCATCAACTACTGGCAGATCCCATCTGACACCATGACACAAGGCATCAACTATTACTACAGTAAAGAGTCTAGATTTTGAAATGAAAAGAGAGAAACAGTGTGAGAGGAGAGGAGAAGAGGATAATGAGAAGAAGTAAGGCGAGGAGTCACTGCTGTTCCCCACACCCTTTTACCACAGGGCTCCAGCCATGCGGCGCTTTGATCCATCACTATTGATTTACCATCAGCGTCTCATCGCCACTGCCTCCCACACAGCAACAAGGATGCGTTCCCAAGATGTGGCTCAGTATGATATGCACACTAGGTTTGACCTTAAACCTACCAGCCAGATGAACCATAGCACAGTTTATATCTATGGCAACCCTTGGTGGAGATGCACTCGTCAATGGAAGTTGGACTTATTTCAATAAAGCACACTAAAAAGGTTTTAACAAAAAAAATCCTGTGAGAGACATACAGTATGCAAATAGTTTTACTAAAGTGAACAAAATCAAGTACAGTATATTACTACCTGGAACAGATTTTTTTTAATGAAATATTTTGTGTGTCCTAACATTTGGGCCTAAGATTAGTGAAAAATTCTAATGTGCTGATGTTTAGTCCAATCTGTATTTACATTATCACCAACAAAAGGCACTGTATTAATATAATTGACAATAAGGAGTTATGTCTGCAGAGACAATATCAAGGAAGTGGAAAGATTGTATTGATTGATAGGTCAAAACTGCAAAATGAAGGGCTAAATTTTGTATGTGGTTTGTACTGTTAACTATTTACCAATACAAAATACATTTCGGTACTGACTTTATTTATTTGTATTTCTTAAAGAATACTTGCTTATCATTTCCTTACTGAACAAACATGGGCTTAGTCATTCGAGGCAGAACCGGACTCAAACACACCAAGCTTGCCCCTCAAAGTCATTCTTCGGTTATCTTTCAACCCCCAACCTCCTCTATTGGATGGCATCCCTTTCCTTGACTGTAATTTGTCACAAGTCACACACTAATGTACAGTATGGAGAACCAAAAGACATTATTGAAAATTAAAGCAGAATGCTTTGAATACACATGAATAAGTAGCTAAGCCTAGAATCAGGAATAAAACTAGAATTACAGCTTTAGAGTGATTCATACTATTGTGTTTGATGTATGTTGCCCATAAGTTTACCATAGTTTTGGAAGGTAATTTAATTTTTAGTATTTAAAAATATGTTTTGTCTGATTAAATGTGGAAAACAGTCCATCTGCAAAGCATGCTTTTATTTTGAAAGCATCCCTAAAACAAATGCAAACTTTTGTGCTCCTGCAAACTGATGTAGTCAACACAACACAGCAAAGTAATCCAACAAACTGCACTACCTGCTGCTTACTTTACTACTCTGCTGCTGAATATTTAACCCCTCTATTTAAATGTATAGTGGAGGTTTTTCACAAATTTTTGAAAAGACCCGCCCTCTCCACTTAAAAAAAAAGGTCATGCACAACCCTGTACCTGGTCCAAAATTCAGCGCCAATGTTTCCTGCCGAGGTCTGAGCGCCAAAGACTAAAGTAATTGTATCAATAAAATTCTTGTAGTTGTCTTTTTTTTTTTCAAGTGTGAGTTTGTCAGATCGAACTATACTAAAACTAGATTTACACATCATAGAAGGTGGGAAAAGCTGCTAATCACTGCACCTTCTATAACAAAAATTGTAAAAGACTGAGATATGAATATCTTGTGAATTCCAAGAAGATTTTTTTTACTTTTTTCTTTATAAAATAGCAAATGATAGCAATGAAGCTCTGCTATCATGTCTCAGTTCACACAGTAGCTGAGGCCTTATGCTGTATTACTATAGTCAAGGACCCGGTGAACTCTGTGAACTCTGAACATTTTTCAAAGTAAGTGGAAAATGTGTCTGCTGTAAATCATGAAATGTAGCAGCTGCAGAGTGTGTCTCTTCAGTTTTATTTGCGGTAATTTGGTGAATTGTCTTTCTGACCCAGCAGGAGCAAAAGGAAAATTACCTTCATCCTTTTGTGGTCCATCAAACACAGATCTGCTGATCTTTCCATTTTTCTTTTTTTGAATTGTATATTAGTAAGCAAAACGTGATGACAAATGCTCTTCCTGAAGCTTTGCTGACTTAACATTATGCATCAGGGTTTGGAAATGGCTCTACAGTATGTGTCGTTCAGAAACATGTAGGGCTCATGAGTGATAAAGAAATATTCAAATGCACCTTCAGCATAGAAGCAAACAAATTTCTCAATTCACAGTTTTACTGTCAGGAAGCTTTTTTAATGTTCAGCACTTTTTTTTCCATTGCAAGGGGAAAAGCATAAATCAGAGGCTTCAAAACAACTGTCAGCGGAGGGACAATGCTTTTACAAAGACGAGCCCTTAAAGGTGGTTTAAGATAAAAGTCTACCTGGCAGTTTAGCAGGAAAAGGCAGCGGTTCTGATTCCTCCCTGGAATCAGATTTTTTTTAGATGCTTGTTTTCATGTGCAATTCTTTCAGCTCTACTTACTCAGCAGGAACATTTTTGATGGTAAAAGAGGAAAAGTTTTGAATTACAAATAATTTGTAACAGTTTTTACCGCATTACATGAAAACAGCTCCAAGCAAAAAGCTAAGAAGAGGAGACCTGCTTCTCTGTGCCAACCTACCTGCCAGCATGCCCACCCTCTGCTTTATCAGCTACCTGCTTAGATTTTCAGCTTAAGAGTTCTTGGATTTTCCACAGAAAACTTCAGCATATCAGCAAAGCTATATTTTAAAATCAGTGATATTGATAATGCTTTCCTAAATGTGTAACATTAGTTAACTAACACAGAAAACCAATGACAAGTCCTCAAAAGCCAAGTTCAAAAATAAGAACTATATCTCAAAACTTAACTTCTTGCTTTTTACAAATAATCTTTATCAATAAGTGCAAAAAGTACAGCTTTGAAACATAAAAGTTTGTTTTTTTGGCTGAAATTCTTAATTTAGTTGATTTTCATTGAAAATGAGTATTTCAGTGACAAAATGCTATATGATATTAATACTGACTCCAGGGGCTGCTGCCAGACTGTGATGCATGTTGCAATAAAGCTAAATGTTTTTTTATGACTCAGAGACTTCACATAGTCTTGCGTTTCATATTAACACACAATGTAGCACATGTAACTCTCATAAATCTCATAAAAACCTTGCTTGCTAATGATGCGGGTGCAGCCTGGGAGCCGAAACCACATTCAAACCAAATGTTCATTAATTCATTGCTGCAAATGGATCAGCGTAATGTGATAACTCTTAGCTTTCAGTGTACCATGGAAAAGAGCTGTTAAGATTTGGGGTACGCATTTTATTCAGCTTTGTTCGATGGAAGAACCAAGTGGTGCTTTATTGTCAGGCTGTTAATGACTGATTTAGACATTTCGGCTTTATATGTCTGAGTTTACAACCTCATGGCACATTATATGTTTTCTGTTAATGACAGAACTTTGAATGTAGATTATTAACAAAATTGTAAAATCAGTATGACTAGATGTAACCCATATGCAGAAGTAATGCTGCAGTCTCTTAAAAAAAATATTAGTAAATAATTGAACTTTAGTGATCTCACATTGGAGAAATTTATCCCTGCAGTCAACCCATCCTCTCATGGAGCAGTGGGTTGCCATTGTGGGTCGCCCAGGGATTAATCGGGGGTTAAGTGTCTTGCTCAGACACCCAGAGTTGCAGTCTGTGGGAGTGGGTTTTGAACTCACAACCTCAGGATTCAAAGCTCTAACTACTAGGCTGCAGTATGATATCAGGTGTTGACCTTTATTTGACTTTTTTATTCATTTATCAATTAATTTCTAATGTTAATAGAAGCCCAAGGCTATTTAGTTTTTGGACTTTAAATTAAATTCCTGCTGAAGTAAAACTATATTTTGTAGACTTTTCCACGTTGGTTTTGCATCTTCTCTTTTTTCCAGAACTGAAACCTTTTCGAGGAACTATCATAGTTTCCTGTGGCTACAGCTACACCTTTCCATGCTTTTTAGATTGACTGTTAAAGTTATGTTGTGGTCATGAAGAAATTACGATGTTTGGATTTATTCCTATTTCTTTTTCGGGGGGGCTTTCCATCGGAAAGCTTAGTTAAGAGCTGCTGCTGAATATCTGCTGATTTAAAAGCTTTGCTTTGGAATCCACATTAAAAGAGCTAAAAAAAAGAATAAATTCTAGAAAAAAATCCCACTTAATCTAGGCATTGTTTATTTTTTAGGTGAAACTTTTTTTTTTTTTTTTTTACTTTTTTTCATAATCCAGCTTCTTCCAACAGTGTAGAATATGTTGAATACTTCTCCAGGTATAAGCTTATTCCATATTGGCTCTATTTCTATTTCCTAACAGTTTTCACTGGTGCTACAAGCACACAACAAAAACGCCAGAGGATAAGCTCCGTATTTGAATCTTTCAATCTACCTCTTTCATATTCAGACTACCTGTGGAGGATCTTAGAGCTGTTTGATTATAGTGAGCTGAATATTTGTCTCCTCATCCCTTATATCCCTATCCTTATATACAAAAAGTTTTAGGCAGTATTTATGTTTTCTTAGCATAATATTAGCCAGTGCTCAATCAAAACTGAAATATTATTTCAAAAAGGATTTAATTCAACTTGACAGCATAGGAGACCAAAAGGTGTTTGTC